CAAAATTTCACTGTCGTAAATGATGGTGCAGAGTCCCCATACACAGAATCCAACTCATCTTTGATTTGCGTAGGCGTATTGCCTTTCAAAAACAAATATTTAATGACAGCTCGATACTCGATTTTGTCCATTTTCACAAAAACACTCACATCAACTTACTCAAACGACTGTTACATAACAACTGCGAGTCCAAAATGGCTGAAACTTCGGTGAGTAACTGTCAACAGATGAACAACGAAATTCACTAGCTATTATTTACAAGTGCTGCTATCTTCACGTTGAGGTCGGAAACTTTTCAGACCACCCTCGTAGATCGTCCATATTGCTTCCACTATAAAGTTGCATATGCAAAATTGGTACATTCAGTATTAAATTTTTCATGAGCAATGCGGATAAACCGCATGAAACTTTAACTACGAGTGTGTATTACTGTGATAAATGTTACGTCAAACTTAATATAATTTTAAATATTTTAGTTCAAATGGATAAATTCCTTAAAGTGCTAAAAACTCTAACAGGAGTAGAAATTAGAGAAAATTTAGAGAGCTGTAAAAAATTGTAAATTGATAAGAGTATAATTTTTTTGTTGTGTATATCTATTAACAACGTTTTGATATAAATTAGTTTTTATGATGAATATTAACATTACTGAATTCATTTCAATTCTGCTCTGCAAAGGAGTCATGCTTTAACAGTAATCATTCTGGCCTCAACACCGAATGATCTGAAATGAATATTTTTTTATTCATTAGGATTATAGTTATCGAGTTACGGAGCGGATTTTTAAAAAAATAATATTTTTCAAAATGGGAATTATAAAAAATCAAAATTAATTTTTTCATATTGGAAAATTCAAGGGCTTGTTAGAATAAATAAATAAAATAAATATAACTAAAATAAATAAATAACACAGTTTTAAAATTTATGAAAAGTTTCCGTGAACTAATAACTATAACCCTAATAAATAAAAAGAATATATTGACACTGATTTTAGACCACTATTGTTGAGATCAGGATGATTATTGTTGAAGCATGATTCTTTAGCAAGAAAATTGAAAGGAACACAGGCATCTTAATATTCATCATAAAAAAATCAAATTTTTCAAAATATTGTTAAGTGCATTTAAAAACGTGTATGACAAAAAATTTATATTCCTTTTCAATTTGCAAATTTTTACAAACTTTTCCCAAATTTTATCTAATTTTTACTGCTGTCAGAGTCCTGTGGCCCTTTAGAACGCGCGAACGTCGACAGTTTCTTGTCGAGACCACTCGACAGACTGTAAACCTCGCACAATGGCGAGCGCTCTTGTATAACTCGGCGGCGTTACATAACGGACATTCTTGTCCCTTTAAGTTCAAGGACCAAAATTCTAAGTTCGGACCGCCACCCCCGCGCCCGCACGGACGAAGGAATAGTCGATCGCAAAGGGCGGGCTTATTTAGCGGGACGAGGGTGGCAACGACGGTGACAGCGAGATGCAACCGAGAGAGTGAGAGAGAGTCCGGACGACGCGGGGAGGGAGAAGAGAGGGATGGAGAGCTGGAGGGGGAGCCAAGTGCTCTGCCCTATCAAGAGTAGCAAATGCTTGGCGTTCCTGAATCCTGGCGGCCGGCGAGGCGACCTAATTAGCGAAATACTCGGGCCTTCTGCCTCCGCGCGCCCCCGTCCCCTCGCCCGCTCCCGACCGCTCGCCGCGACAGCCGCGAAGCGTTGTCGGCACCGTACACGCTTCTTTCCTGATATCGAACTCTTCCCAACCTCGTTTCTCCTTTTCCCTCCCCCGCCACTCGCTCCTCATCACCCCTCGCCAACCCCCGACCCTCTTTTCCTCGTGCGTCGCTCGTTCCTTCCGTCCGACGCAAATACGGGGCATCGTTTTCCAAATACCAGAAGACGCCCTCGGAATTTCTGCGCCGCGTAATCGGAACGCCGCCGCCGTCGCGAATGTCGTGTCGGTTCTTCTCTCTCTCCTTCCTTCCTAACTCTCTCTCACCCTACTACGTCTCTCTTTTCTCTCTTTCCTTCTCTGTCTCTTTGTTCGCCGCTTTCTGCCTCAGTTTTCCGACTTTTTCGATTCTTTGCCACACGAACTACGAGGTCGCCGGGCCACGTGTCGCGGAATCTTTTTGCGATGGAGAAAAAATATCGGGAGCACTTGTGGGAAGACCGAGCGAGTGCCCGATTTCGCCACGTGCAAAAATGCGAAGAATGTTCCCTTAAATTTTAGAACCGCGCGCGAAATGTGCGATCGAATAATTTCAGCGCGAACTCGAACGCATATTTGAAACACGTACGGAGGCTGAAATGTTCTACGCTGCGGAGTATCGAGATTTTTAAAGCACATATGCAGAGAGGAAGGTCGGCTAGCGAGCCAGCCGCTCCATGAAAAATCTTTCGCGCCGGTTTCGCATACACAAGGGCTACGGATATTATTTACAGAGTACTTATTGTATGTCAAGGGTGTTGCGATCGACTTCCTATTTTGCCATTCGAGTGGCATATAACGAGCGAGACATATTAATAAACCCTTTCCCTTCCACCTGCCTTCTAGAAAGGGGAGAGGAGAACTCAACATCCGTCTATTTACTTCTCATTTGTAGAAAGAACTCTTCCAGCTTGCACAGTCATTTCGAGATCTCTCAGCTCGTCAAATAATGATTGATATTAGCACGCGAGCATGGAATTATTCGAGCAGCTCTAATTTTCAATTGGCGACGATATTTTTACAGCCCCTGGAGGTGCGGGAAATATGTCCGGAGCGATGCTACAAGGCGCATCACCTCGGGGTGTGGAGTCCGATTTGCAGTAAGAAGCTGCAGAGTATCGTGAAACTCGCCTCGGCGCTCGAGAGCGGCAGATTCGTCGCAAGGGACATCGGTAAGTCCCGTTCCAACCACCACCATCACCACCACCACCACCACCACCACAAGCACATCCACACATGAGTCGCGGTACTTTATCGAGTGTGTCGAGCAAAGTTCTCATGTCCGCGCGCGTAGGAAGAGAGAAGTCCGGGCGAGTTCCGTCGCGAGTTTCCGCTTCTTGTGGAAGAAATAAGCTACGGAGGGGAAAACGCCCCCGGCTATCCGCCTGTCCGACAGCGAAGGGGAGGGGAGGGCCTTTGGTTGCCGGTTAATCGAGTGCAAGCCGCGCCGCCTCAAGTTCACTCGCGAGAATAGCCCCCGGGAATTGTCGAGTTTAAAGTTTAAGTGGCCGGCGATTTGGCGAATTTAAGTGTTCATTTTTAATGTTGCGCGCGGCTAGTCGCTCGATTCCCGGTGGCAGTTAGCGATAATTGGCGTTTCCACGACATTCACTGTGGCCCATGGCATTCCGCGAACATTTATCCTTCACCGCGCTGTTTTCCCGGATCGTAAAGCGTGCATGTTGCCTTGTGCACTAAGCAGTCCAGCTGTGTCAAATGTAGTATGGACCGTATGCTCTCTTTTTCTCTCTCTTTGTTTCCCCTCTTTCACGTCTCTCTCTCTCGTAGCGAAACGAGGATAGATATAATGCAATTTCGTAAAGTAAACCTTGATGACCCGACCGTTGGCCGCGGGTTATACTGAATCTAAATCATTCGCACGTGCGCCATGCGAGTGAGGGACAAATGGCGAGCGAGGTCGCGAGTTTTTCAAACGTTTGGCACTATTCGCTGTCACATAGGACCGCACCGTCTACGATTTTGGTCAATCCGAAACGTGTCTTGTGTGCATCTTGACTTATCAAAAGCTTCATCATCGTCGATGTCTCGGTCAATACAACGATTCATTGAAGCTCGCTTGTTACATTCTAAAAAAAGAAATATTTGGAAAATATAAGATATTTATTTGATGGTATTAATAACACATTTACATGAAAAATTTTTTTCGTATAAGAAAATATACATTTTCTCAAAAAACTGAAAGCAGAAAACGATTGTTGAAAACAATTATTTTATTGCTTATTCTTCAATAAATAATCATATCTGAATAATATTTGTATTCTAGTCATATTTAAATAAAAAATTTAAATCCTAGTATTACACAAGATATCTAAATCCTAGTATTACAACAGATATAAATTTTTGTATTTAAATTAAGTAAACAGAAAATAATTATGTTCAATTTCTGTCATATAAAAAATAAATTTATAATATATTAATAATAATCTGTATATATGTAATATCTATATATAGAATTTAACTAAATAGAATAAACAAGAAAACACACACACAATTATTTTTTTGTTTAATTCACTTAAATACAGAAAACTAAATTTAAGGAAATAAGTTATTAGTATTTATCGAATAAATATTATTTATCTTTAGATATTTTTTCTGCCAATGTACAGATTTTTATCATGTCAATGTTCTATCTTTCATTTCTTTGTTGATGCTTATTCATTACCCTTCCCAGCTCAAGAAAGAACAACAAAAGCCAGAAAATTAAATAATAGATTGAATCGTCTCACGGGTGCACTTGTCAAGTGCAAAAATAATTGCGATTGATGGAAAATATATCGTCCATCGCTTTTTCGATTTCGCTTGGAAGTAATTGGACGGAGCGCGTTGGTCTCTCCTCGCAAGAGACACGGGGGAGTTCGGCGTCCCGCATTTTGACGCGCCTAACTCGAAGTTACGGAGTCGCGAAGTTCACCGGCGGCCGAGAACGAGTATTAAGTGGGGCGAATTACACGAAATGCAAAGGTCGCGGGAATAATTAATTGTCGCGAGGGAAGCGACGTCGTTAGAAATAAAATAGCAATTACAGGACGAAACACACATCGCGTGCTTCACCGTTCGCGTTGAATAAACTTCGCGAGACGAGGAAATGTAATTGCGAACTAAAAGAGCGAGAATAAAAGGAAGAGAGGGAGAGAGAGAGGTAGATAGATAAATAGATAGGTAGTTTTATTAAGTCTCGGAATAAAAAATTTTCAGGTATACAGTAATAGGAGTACTGTATAAAAATATAGTGATATAGAAAGAAAGATAGATTATTCTAGTAGATATAAATGCCATGATATAGAGTTATTAATGATAAAATAAAAAGAACAGAAAGAGCAAATTTTAATTAATAATAAAAGAAATAGAAACAATAAAAAAACATTGTAAAAATAGTCAAAGAAAAAAAATGTAAATATGCATTAAAAAGACAATGAAAAACTTAATTAGAAATATGATAATGTTGATAAAAAAATATGAAAAATATTTTAAAATAACGAAAAAATAATAGCAAAATGTAAAACAAGAAAACGAGGATACACAGAGAGAAATAGAAATTTTAAGAGAAATAGAGTGTTTATTCTCCTGGAGTGAGTCCCTATCAGTTATAAAAGAAAAAAATGTGAACATACATGAATTAAATAAAAAGATGGAGGAGGGGAAAGGGAAGGAGTCACATTATTTTCTTACTAAGAAAAGATCGGAATCGCCGTCACACACAGTGCGTTGTCGTAGGTCCGGAACGCATCCTACTCCCTCTGCCACACCTGCTCGCTCCCATTAATGTTTCACGCCGCACTCACCCCGTATTAAATTAGGTGGCGCGGACCCCGAGAGAATGGCACCCCCGAGGGTGGAGGAATACCTGGCGGATCTGTTTTACGGCTCGAGCGTTACGATGCAAGTGATATCCGATCAGGACACGCTGCTGCAGGAGTATCCGCTGTTCGCCTGCGTGAATCGCGCTGCCTCGGTGATAGTGCGCCACGCCGGCAGGATCATATTCCTGACTTACGAGCCGCCCACGTCCTGCGTCCTGGAGACGATCATGCTCGTGGGGAAGGGCGTCACTTACGACACCGGTGGCGCCGACATCAAGTGCAACGGCGTCATGTCCGGGATGTCGAGGGACAAATGCGGCGCAGCCGCCTGCGCCGGGTTCATGCAGGTGCCGTAATATCGCAATATACGTAATGCACGAACGTTTACATGCACGGGGACGTACACACACGCCGCGCGAGTTATTGTTGCACGTCACGGTGGAACGCGCGATCGCGTTTCGCTTTGTTCTATTAATAATCGGCGTTTTAATAAGTCAGCCGCGGAAGATCCACGGAATGATCATCGTACGAACCGTAATTCTGTTCTTTATGGCACGGTTGGTAGCGCATTAATGGTCTAGCTGCACGCTCGCTCTTTCGCGTACATACACACACACACACACACATACACACAGCGCCTATCTCTACTATCTCTCCCGCCCCGATCGAAATACGGGCCTCGGATAGGTATCGCGTGTAAGTATTTGTATGTGTGACCGTGATATTCGAAAATCAAGCCCTCGCTCCCCGGGTCCTTGTATTATTCCAGCCAATTCGTGTATTTCAGCTACGATAGTTTTGTTATACGTGACATGTCTGCGCGAAGAATAAATGTCCGGGATTTGTAATGGAAGCAATGAATTTTTCACTGGGGGAGAGAATTTTTCGCGAGTGACCTTCAGTCGTTCTCTGACATATCTCTGTCTCCTTTAGTTTTGCGAGAGAGATATTCGAGTTTCCATAAATATCAACATTTGTCGATATCAGGGCGCGTCGCGCTGAAAAAAAGAAAAAAAGAGAATGCCTACGTCGTGATGAAACGAGCGAGTGGAGATTTTTTTTGTTAATAATGGTTTGCTTACACACACACATATACATACGCACACTGAAACAATATTTAGCAACACGCTGTACGAAAAACCCTCCGGTGAACGATAACGCAGTCAATTAATATTATTTGTCGTTTAATTTTTCACGTGAAACAAACATTATCGGCCTCGACAAATTTATTAGGAAAATCACGCGTTTCAATTAAACGGTACAATGCAACAATAATGTTTGTTCTGCATCAGCGCTGAAAGAGATCGCGATGCGAGCGAATTTAATCCACTCGTGGAAAAGGATATGCATTCGCGCTAACAATTCAGTGAAATCATCTTTTATTATTTTACCCGCAGAAATAATTATTCGCGCAACTATCATTTTGCATGCATGGAAAAAATATAGTAACAGAAATTGTGTTGAGATTTTTTTTTTCAAATTTTTTATTGAAATTTTAATATAAATTGCTATAGAAATTGCTATAATATAAATTACTATAGAAATAATAGATATGACGATTCACATATAAAAAGCATTCAAATAATTACAATAGTTTTATAGTAAAAAATTCAGTATACATAACATTTTTAAACAAGCATATAGTAATTTTAATCATAATTCCTGTATGCTCCAAGTTTGTAAAATTCTGTTACAGTTTTTACTACGATATGTTCGCTGTGCAATTTTCATTCGCCTGCATAATTCTTGATGATTAGATAACTGAGGACTTCGTAACACATAAAAGTCTGTTCGCGAGATCTCTCGTTTTTCAAAGCTTAAATGAAAAAGAGCGCTCACGGGTTTTTGTGTTTTCATTTCTCATCGCACGAAATGAGTTGTGTTAATGGTAATGGCCGCATATTATAAGAGAGAAAACTCGTGAGTGCGCTCATGCACTTTGAACAACGGCAAATCCCGCGCCCGGTGTCCTCTGTGTGTTAATGCGATCGTTAATGAAGCCGCTTTTTCCGAATTCGCCGCAGGTGGTGAACACACTGAAACCGCCGACAGTGAAGGTGGTCGTCGCGCTTTGCATGGTGCGTAACAGCGTAGGTGAGAACTGTTACGTCTCCGATGAGGTGATCACGGCGAAATCCGGCATGAGGGTGCGGATAGGTAACACCGACGCCGAGGGCCGAATGGCAATGGCCGACGCCCTCTATCATCTCAAGGAAATGGCCGTGAGCGCGGTGAACCCACATCTGTTTACAATAGCCACGCTAACCGGCCACGCGGTGTTGACTGCGGGCGAGGGATACTCCGTAAGTATAAACCGCGAGTTTACGTTTCGCGCTTGTTACAGCTCTCGACCGCGTTTCGGGCCACGTAGTTACGGCGGCAGTAGCCGTGGTGGCCGCTCGAATTCCCGCTGCGTCGATCAGTTGCAACGCGATATAACGCGCCTCGAAGTAACGAAGAGCAGTCCGGGCGGCCGGGAGAAGTGATGGGGAGGGAAGTTAACCTCGGCAGTGCGCCGGGGTCGCGCGTAACGACGGTGGAAGCGAGCGTGAAAGTCGAGGCGCCAATCGAGCCGCGGAAATGCACACGGACAGTTACGTATTTGTTGATTCATCGTGGAAAGCGTAATTGGACAGGGTTATAAATGAGCGAGATATGCGCGCCGCGGCTCTCGCCTCCTCTTCGCACCCCCACCTTTCCACCCTCCCGGCATTATATCGAATCCCCGACGTGACACGCGATATAAAGGCGTATGACTTCGTTATGAAGATTGCTCGGCGCAGAGACGCTAAATGTAATTTATCCCGCGGTCGCTTCGGATGTCACCTGCCTCGTCCCCCCCCCACCCGTGAAAGATGCTCCATATCATTCTTCCGTATTTCCGAAAAGTCCGTGCAGTCGTGAATGCACGCAGGAAAATATCATTAGAAAAGCGATCAATCAGAGTTTACTTTCCTTCTCTTAAGGCCGATTTTTCCAACCTCTTGGTAAATTAACTAGCAGCTAAATCACGTGTCTTTCTTTATTTTTCCTTCAAATTAGATAAAAATTGACATATTATTTAACTATTGGTTAGCTTACCAAGACGGAAATCTGCCCTTAATGATTGTTTTCAACAAATTCTCTTCATGGTTATCTTCAACAAAGGATGTTGTGATAACAGTTTCAAAATAGATTGATTTCAAAGAAACTCGTTAGCATGTTTTCCGATGAAATATTGACTCTCTTTACAAAAATATTATAAAACTTTATAGAAGAAAAGATTGGTTCCATTCTATACACACACACACACACTGAGAGAACAAATATTTAATAACATAAAATATCTATATCCAGATATTAATAACATATTCACTTGTGAATCTAAATTCTTTTATTTAAATGTAATAAACGATCGCTTTTATGAAAAACTAAGATATTGAGAAAATGTGTATTTTCTTATTTAAAAAATATTTTATATTGATATAAATAAATAAACAAATAATAAATAAATAAATATATATATATGTGTGTGTGTGTGTGTGTGTGTGTGTGTGTGTGTGAGTACCCCTACCAAATAAAAATATTTTTTATAAATTTTACCAAATATTAAGATATAGAGGGATTTATTAATTATCTGATAATAATTTATTTTTGTTCATTTGTTTCTACTTCTTTATTTATTTTTAATATTTGATAAAAACGCGGCGCAAAAGTGCCGAAAACTGGCAGAATTTACAAGAGGGGTTCAAGGACGTTTGCCTTATGTATCGTGTGATAAATTTACATTGTGTGCTATAGATCGTGATGGATAACGCCGTGGCACGAATAAACTGCAACGCGGAGAAGCTCCAGGCTTCCGGCGAAGTGATGGGTGACCCGTTCGAGATATCGCGAATACGTAGAGAGGACTTTCGAACTCACCGGGGGCAAGCGGAGGGCGACGACGTTCTCCAAGCGCTAAACAAGCCGAGCTCGAAAACTCTGAGGGGTCATCAAGGACCGGCCGCTTTTCTAATTAGAGCCTCTGGATTGGACAAGGTATCGTGTTTTTATTTATATATTATTATCTACCTTATTGTGACAATATCTCTTGATCTTTATTGTTACCATTATTGTTAACTTCCTTGAGAGGACTACCTTGAGTGTACGACGCGTTTCCAGGCACATCAGCGACGTCTCTTAACTATTTGTGACTTTTAGCACGGCGTTGCGTCGGAGAAGCCTGTGAAATACAGTCATCTGGACATAGCCGGTAGCGCCGGCAATTTCCCCGATCGACCGACCGGCTCGCCGATTTTGGCGTTAGCTAAAGCGTTCCTTGTCGATAAGCTAACGCCAGAGGAGACCAAAGATCAATAATCTCCATGCAACCGACTATTGCTATGAACGTGGTTTTTTCACAGATTTTCCACCTAAAACATTATTAACTCTATAAAATTTTTGATAGTCTCAACGCGTCGCTCTTATGAAACGCGGACGGATTTCGTTATCGTATCTCTCGAGACGTTTCGCGTTGCAAAATGTGTTTGGGAATTAGTGATAAGAACTCGACGATTAATGGAACTCGAAAGAATGAACGAAAGAGCTTTAGCAAATATAAGTGGACGAGCAACAAACTCTCGTCCATCGGAAGCGCGTCAATCTCAGTTTTCCAACGAGCTCTTATTCAAGTTTCTACAATCCTTGTACGAGGAGATGTTGACAATAATATGTCGAGCCACGCAGCCACTCACTAAACTCAACGCCGAAGGATAATCGAGGTTCGCTGTTTTGTTTACACTCATGGATGAGTGGAAACAAGTCTATATAGTATAGTTCCTCAAGTCAGAGTTAGCATATCGTCCACCATTCATAAGGAGGAAGTGAGTGAGTGATAGAGAAGCTGCAGCGTGCCTCGTCATTTCAGTCTTAGAATTTCTCTCTTATCCTACTATAGTTTCTCTCTCTCACTCCCATTCACGTTATCCCTCAAAATAGCGAACAGGATACAGACCAATCAGGAATTATCATGCTTTGTCTTAACTCTGACTAGAGGAACACGGCGACATGCTACCTCGTCTACAATAAACGAATTAAGCTTGGCACAAATTGGATAAATAAAAATAATTTATTGCATTTATTACCGCACTCTAGCTCTTTTACAAAGGAAGTATTCCTCTCACTTAAGCGAGCAAACACGTAAGTGAAATAAATTATTTTTATTTTTACTTCAACTTACGCCAAGCTTACTCCGCATATTATAGATAAACCTCAAGCAAATGGCACATAAAAGAAACGTAAGCAGTAACGTTTAAAGCAGTAAATAAATTGACCAATCACAGTCAATAATTCTTCTTACGGTCTAAGAACAATCGATTGTGACTGGTGAATTTTCTTATTGCTTAACCCTTTCGCTACCAACGAGATATATTTTTTCCACTATCAATAATGTTATTCAATTGAATGAACAGTTTTTTGTTATTCAGAACACATCAGCTATCACTCTATTTATTACCACGTTGGGACAAATATAGCCTCCCAAAAACTCCAGTAATCAGTGTCCCAATCCTATCCCTTTGTCGCCAAATATAAAACTTCCAATTAATTTTTACTAAAACTGTATTATATTGATATACTAAATGAAATGAAGGTAAAAAAAATTGTACGTTTAAAGACAAAATTAGTAGCGAAAAGATTGTCTTACTGCTTTACATTTCCCTTACTGCTTTACGCGACCCGCTCTCCCACTTGTCAACGCGGGCCACGTGCTCAGATGACGCGGTTACACGGCCGTTCACCTTATTCGCGCGCGAGCAGGACGCAGAGTGTTGTGAGTTCGATAGATTTTCTACGCATGCGCAGAAGGCTTCTTGTCGCGGAGAAAATCTCCCGAACTCGCGGCACTAGCAGTCAGTTCGCTTCGCGCTAGCGCGTGTTGCGCATTATACAGAGTTTGCTCAATATTCTGGCGAGTTACGTTCGCCGACATCAAGTGTCCTGAAACTTCAAAGCCTGCATCTCGTGAAGGGATCAAGCATTCTTCTTGACACGTGACGCTGTATTTGTATTGGTGTTTTTTTAATGTCCATTGACACGCCTTCGTTTGTTCTCGCGAGTTCCATTAGTCGGCTAATATATTGTCAATCGTACGAGTTGCGACTCGCTTCGAATACATTCTTGTAAGCGACATCGCAATTTGATTTGAACTTTTATAATTCTTGTTACAAAACAATGGGTAATGGAATCTGATAATAAAACTGGTCATTATTCTCCAGAACCATGCGAAATCCATGTTGATCGTGGTGATCAACAATCCCTCGTTGAGCTCGAGAGGTCTGTCCTCGTGATGGGCAGTGCGTCGACTCTCCCCTCCCTCTGAAATATTCTGTTTGCGGAGTTTTACACCCGCAAAGTTTAATATTCGCGGCAAGACGCGTAAAAATGTGACACATTCGGCGCAAATAACGATTAATTCCCCTGTCCTTTATCCTCGGAGTTTCTACTTCGCGAGCCATCGCGCGCGTCTGTGCTTACAGCCAGCGGAGAGAAGGATCGCGCGCTCAGACCATTTCGTAATTAAAATTTTCTATCGCGTCATGTATCGCCTGACGTGACGTGCAAAAAGTTCCAGCGACCGGCTGGCGGCCGTCCTCGCATCTCAGACGGATATACGCTCGTTACCGCGTTGTTATCGCATCTGTCAGTCAAGGTCGTCCGTTATATCCGCGCTCGACACTCTCGCCAACTTGGTACAATGAATCTTTTATGGGCGATCGACTTAACGGTGGTAGCGCGAGAGCAGGCGTTAATGGCGGATTAAAAAGCTTTTCCATTACAATGACGTTTAAAGACTCATTTATCCGCTCTCGCGCTCTCCCGTTTACCTTCTTCGACCCTCTTCCTCTCTCTGCTCTCTCTCTCTCTCTCTCTCTCTCTACTCTCTCCGCGTCCCTCGTTACTCCCCACCTCTTTTCTCCTTCCTCTTCAGCTCTTTCCCTCCCTCTCTCTCTTTGTCTCTCTGACCCGTTTCGTATCGATTGCAGCACGGAGTTTGTAGCTGTACCCCCTTGAAGTACACGCACATCGACTTATTCGGACACCTACCTCAGCCTCATCACAAGCCGTGCCACGGCAATCCCGTCCTAGCCATGTCCTACTGCTATCTGATCCAGGGCAAGTGTCTGACGATGGGAAGCGACATTTCCTACGGGACGCAGTACGTCTGCGAGCTCGACTGCAAACCGGTCTGCGTAACGTCCTGTCGGCCGTACGACGAGATGCCCCCCGAACATCCGTGCGGAGCACCTTGCCCGCCGCACGCCAGGTGCCACGCTTGCACAGGTGCGATGGCTCACGAGCAGCGTCAGGCGCCGTCGCCTTGCCGGCGGTAAGTCTGTCCACTACTGTCTAATTCAGAAACAGTGTACCAGGTAGTCATGTGTCAAACGAACGTGCTAAAACAAAAAAAAAAACAAAAAAAAGTACGGAGTAAACCCGCGCGCTCTGACAATTTACGTCGAGTTACGCGATATTCATGTGATCCGCGGGATTTACGAGATCCGTTCTTGCGCGGCGAGTCGTTAATCTTGCCGTCGATTTTAAGCTCGTTTTTACTGGCGTTTTGGCCGATTTATTTGCTAGCGCCGCGACCTCGTCAACCGGGCGTGTGCATGTATTTTTGCGAATAAAAAATATTTCAAACCCGACAGCCGCGTTCTTTCCGTCCCGTTCGCGCTGCGAGTACTTTCGAGAGTCGCTCGGGAATTTCCGTTAAAAATGGAATATTATTCTCTGAGGAGACGCGTGAAAGCGCGCACGCTTTCGTCTGCCTGCTTATCGATTGAGCAACACTAGGTAGGCCAGGTATCGATCCTTGGCCAGGTATACACTTCGTACCCGTAGCCAATAAGTCAGCATGGTGTATCCGCAGTTGGTATATTCGAGTCATTCTATTATCGGAGAACGGTAATCGCGAAAGAATTTTTTAAGTATTATCAGCAGTTAATCACAGATACATATCTGTGTTTAACGTCTCCGCTAATCCTCGCACACGAAGGCACCGATACTCAAACGAAATCCCAGTGTTTTTTTCTGTCGATCACTTGTCGAATTCCAGCTATGCAATTCATAGCGGCTGTAAACAGCAAATATTATGCTCGTGTGTAATTATAAACTACATCCATAACTAACGGGGAGGAAATATGGTGATTGGTTGTTTTGGTTTGATCACGTAATTAGCGCGTTCATAGACAATCCCTTTGAGGCAACTAAATAAATGCAAATGTAGCTGTATATATGTTAACTAACTATATATTTGTGAAATCAATATTTTATACATAACATTGTCTTACACTGAGAAAAAAGAATTAGTTTATAGCAAAAATTACTATAGAATTTTGTAATTGATATTCTGCAGGAGTGTATTATTCTTTTCACATGTGCTTTTTATTATTAATTTTCATTATTAATTTATATTTTTATTTTAATTTTTTATTTTAATTTTATATTTTTCATATTTCTGTATTTATAATTTTATTTATATATTTATAATTATATATATATATATATATATATATATATATATATATATATTTATGTTTTATTTTAATTTATATTTTTGGAACTAAAATTGAATATTTTTAACGAAATTGGACTTTTTCTTAGCAAAATAGGCCTAACTGACAGTCTATTCCTGCATTATTAGAAACATAGTAAAATTGAAAAAAATTTCTATATTTCACACAAGCTTAAAACGCATACTAACTCTATATGAACGAATGTTTTAATTGATAAGATGTTTCTATTTGACGATGGATTGCATCAGATTCACTTTTCAGTTTCGAATGAAAATATTCACTCGACAATTCAAAGTGAAGAATTTACTGTATATGAGCAAAAAATTAAACTCGAATTCGAATAACTCCGTGGTCACTCTATTTTATTTTATTTTTTTAAAGAAATTTCGCTCTATAAGAGAAAGGAAGAAAAAAAAGAGAAATTTAAGGACTAACACTTTACTAGAAAAGCGATTTTCTTCACAATAATTCATTCGCTGCTCGATTAAAATTACTTTTTTCTCAGTGTAGCCTTTTTTATATGTCTTTTATTTTCAGTGATATGTGTACAGTGTTTACCACTTGAAAAGTCGCTAACTCTAGTATTAAATTTTTATTCTTCTTTTAAATGACTCACATGTCGTGCCCATGAAAACGTCGCCGAGCGAAAAAGTTTCGACGAATGTGGAGATCACACTCTTAGTTTTATCGTTGCGCCACCATCGATGGCTGAATATGTATTCGACGGGGATCACTGAGTATGCTTTATAAGCTCGACTCGCGCAGGAGAATGCCGTGGAAGGGAAACTTAATTACTGCCACGTCCTTTCTTAATTAAGAGAAAATGTTTGGCATATCTCGTGGAGATTACCGCGAGCGAGGCAAACTTCCGTTTGCGTTACTAGCGCGCTTGCTTTCTCACGATCGAAAGCCCGATCCAAAACTAATCCCGCGCCGTCGTTTTACAAGATCGCATTTGCGTTGTGCCGACCGCGGGCACTTGCGTAATTCGTTATCTTATCAAGTAAGAACAAAGGAAAAAGGAAGCAGACTCATCGAAGAAAGAAATACGGGAAGCTACTTGACCAAACTCGCGCGCTACCATAACTTACCATCGCGAATTTAGTCAGTGAAGTTCGCGACTGAGGAGCCAGTATCGCTCGCATTATTTACGTTTCGTGTCGTTGAACCTGAGTATCGATCATCGCGCGGATACACGCGAAGCGTCGTAGGCCAAGTTGGCACGTGAAAACGCGTTATCCGCGGAGAGACGACAGCTCGTAGGATAAGAAGAGAGAGAAGAGAAGGGCCAAGGGGCAAGGGATAGCACACAGCTCACGGGCAGTAAACATAGTGGCAGGAGGCGGCAGTATTATCAGCGCGGCCGGTACCCGCGAGTTGACATTGTTTGAAGAACTTGAAGGCAACGCGAGTCGCCGGTTGCGAGAAGCGCGACGTGAGGTTCGCAAGAAGGTAACACACATACATGTACACAGAGAGCCCGGACGGGAGGGACGAAGGGCGTAGAGGGGTGAAGGAAGAGAGTGAGAGAGGAGGGGGCGGTAGGGGGCAGTGTGGCGGGTTCGACGGCCGGCTGGTGGCCCAGTGACCGGGACCGGTTCCCTCCGCGGTTCCTCCTTCCGCCTTCCTTGCAAACGCACAACTGCATCATCTCGACTCACCTCGCTTCGTCCCCCTCACGTCCCCCGTGCCTCTCTGGGTTTCTCTCTCTCTTTCTCCCCGTCTCTCTCTGTCCCTCTTCTCTTTCCTCCTTCTTCTCTCTCTCCCCGTATCTCTATCATTCTCTCCCTGTCCTGCTCGGTCGTCTCTCTCCTCCGCCTGCCAACTCTCCACTCACCTCCTTCTCGATCCGACCCGGTGCGCGCCTTCGCGCTCGCGCTCCTCTCTCGTCTCCTCTCGTTCGTTGGTTCGTTCGGCCGGCCGGCCGGTCGGTCGGCCGACCGGCCGCTTCTCTCTCTTTGCCGTCATCCACCTCGTCTTCTCTCCTCTTTCGCGCGAAAGCGTTGCCACACGCGCGAAACGGCCCACCGCCTCTTCGCTGCTTCCCTCCGCCGCGACGCGGGATGCGATGCGATGCGATGCAGTGCTCTCGCTTGCACCATTCTGCCACTCGCGCGCTCAACAGCGGTTATCTCATCCTGTCCTCTTCTCCATCCCTTCTTTCTCTTTCTCTCTCTCTCTCTCTCTCTCTCTCTTTCTTTCTCTCTCTTTCTCCTCACCTCGCGAAGCAGAGGTCATGACGCGTATTCGCTTCTTCATTCTTCCCCCTCCGCCCGCCCTACGTCAGCCGGCTGCCTCGTCGCCGCCGCCGTCGTCTCGTTCCCTTCTTCTTTTTCTTTGTACATCGTAGTTCGTTCAATGATCGGGCCGGCGATACCTACGGGTGGACACGCAACTATTTATCCCACGCGACGACGTGGGCAGTCCGCGGGTAGGAATGACGGCACCAGAAGATGAACGAACGAACGAACGAACGAACGAACGGACGGACGAACGAACGCCGGCTCCGAATGGAAGCCGAGGTGCTATCATGCGCCGGCTGACGAAGGGGATCTTTAAATTCAGGATGGGCCTGGTCTCGGACACCTCCAGTCAAGGACTTGAAAGGAAAAGTAGTTCTATGTAGAGGAAAGAGAGAAGGAGCAAGAGAGACGAACGTCGAGGGAGAGTGAGGAAGAAAGAGCGAGCGAGAGAGAGAGAGAGAGAGAGAGGAAGGGAGAGCGAGAAGGAGCCGGAGGGAGAGATCGCGAGAGAAAGAGGAAGAGACGGAGAAAGAGGAGGAGGTGAAGGGGAAGGAAGTGAAAGTACGACGAGGCCAGCGTTACCGGCGCATCCGAGATTTCGTGCTACTGTCTTTCTTCCGTCTTCCTCGTCTTTCTCTTCCTTGCACCTCTCCTTTCCGTCGCCGCCGCCGCCGCCGACGTCGCCACTTCTCTCTCTCTCTCTCTCTCTCTCTCTCTCTCTCTCTCTCTCTCT